GATGCACATACACTTCTACGTATACATGCATTTTATTTTATTGTATTGTAGGCGTGTGATTGGTCCGCGAACGGCCTTCGATATGTCGCTGAGACTCTGTAATCACATCTCCATCCCCAGCAGATTTCCTGCTGTTGCTGCTGCTGCATGCAAGGCATGAGGGAAAAGTTTTTTCTGGGTCAGAAGCTGGTATCATTGTGATTGTCTCGTTCGCATTCCTCGCAGATGCGTTCAACTTCCTTTTTCTGGGTCCGTGACACACATAAAAAAAAGAAACAGCAAAGGATAAACGGAATGCTGAGTTTCCAAGAATCCCTGCGACGCGAGAAAATATCTCTGAACTTCACGGACATTTTTAGCACGGTTCTCTGGATGCTTCGAACAAATGATAATTTTTTAATACGAAAAGGTCACGAAAATTCGAACTGAAATGGAGGAATATTCAGTCACGCGTATTCTAAAGTTTTTATCCATTCACTGCCCGAGCAATCCTCAACTCGATGGCTTTTTCTGGCAATACTACTTTTTTCTTTATTTTTATAATCCAAGTTATCACCAGCATCTTGTTTGAAATTTAGTTTTAAATTTTCTTTTCGAAAAACGAGGAGTGGAAGTTTTTTCCACGAACTACTATATTAATAGTCATTCCACGTTCTACCTTGTTTGTTTCGTTTCAATCAGTGTAAATCAATCGAAAGATGCGAGTAAACAAAATAATTGTGCATATGTATGTTAGCTAAACCATGCAAGAAAAATGCTGGTTTTACTTTTTATTTCCAACCTTCTTTTGACGAATTTATAAAATTCGTTTATTTTCATCAAAAATTAGTCCAAATGTACGGGAATATTAAAAAAATTTTTCAAGTAAGTAGCGAGTGAAAATATACATGGACTGTAAATACAGTTGAGATTTGCTGGCGTGTTTCCAATTAAAAAAAAGTCATTTCGAAATATTTGAACCTGCACCTGTCCAAACTTGGGAAAACGAAGTACATTTTGATGAACGACGCTCTAAAAAAAACCTCCAACTGTCTTAATTTTTCTGGGATGTGATTCTGATGTTTCAAACTTTCAAGAATTGGGGTATCCTCTGAAAAACAATGATTAGCAATCAACACAGAAATTGGCGCGAAAAAAGACAATAATTAGTGTCGAGTGGATCGTCTGACCTGAAGCCGGAAGTGATATTTGGATGAAATTCAAGCGCCTCGACGCCTATTTTCCCACAAAACAAGTGTGAAGCAATCCATTCAATCGCCTTCGTACGAACTCGAATGAACTGTTCAATGGACGTACCGGAGTAAGGCTCTGCTGAAGTTTGGGGGTCTAAAGTGTGAGTAGGGTTTATTTAGGTACGGTCCTTCGCATATATTTAAGCGTATAGAGTCGTTTTGGAGCTGCTCTCCTCGGCTTGAGAAAAAAAAAAATGATGAGGATAAAGGCCGAGAGTTCTGTTATGAATTGTGTTACTCAATTGATGACGAAAATTGCGACAACGAGGTGGGGAGAAAACCCGGGGAAATAGTCGATGGATTGGAATGATTCAAGCTGGATTGCATCCGGTGATTGAAAATGACGTTGCGGGATTTAGATTATATCCTTTTCTTATATGCCTCGGTCCCCCGAGGGGATGATTGGCGCCACGCCGAGCGGATAATTCCTTGAGGCACGCCAAGGTCTATAATTGGTCTCGTCCCCCAGAAGGTCTTTCAGTGACTAGTGCTTAGTTAGGGGTTCCCTCTCCTTACGTGAACAGAACTATCTCGTCAGTAGTCGTCCCAGATCCCTTCTTTACTTTTTAGTAGGGGATTCCCCACCCATTCACCAAATCCCCCCCTTCCCCACTCCAAAGAAAAATGGCAAAATCAGCAAATGTCTCCTTTTTTTTTAAATAAAAGAACATGCAATAGAATCGAATTGTATCAACATTTCCTGGGGCCCAAAACTATCATTAAACTGTATATGAATGCCTAAAAATTCCCCTAAACGACAGATGAAAATACAGGAGGGGCCCCGAGATGCGGACGTAATTTGTGCTTGGGCCTATTATTGTCCCTATATGTCGGAGCGTCCGTAAGTCGGATCACGTTTTTCCAAAGACTTCAATGGGAGTATACTTAAGTGCTGGTTCTCTGGTTTGACAAAAATTATGAGAATGAAGTGCACAAAATAAAAATTGAATAATTTCTTTCTTATCAAATTAGTAGTAAAGTACAGAATACTGTGCAGAAAAAAGCCACACGAAAGCAGATCTTGTGTCATCAAATAGAGCTCAAGAAGAAACACAATTTTAGTTCTATTGTGGCAAATGATAAAAAAAGAAAATATAATCACAAAATTTACCTGTTTTTGATCATGGATTGGAGCAATTTTAAAATGGAATCTATTTTCAGTTTTTGAGAAAAGAAATAGCTCAATTAATTCGAAAAATATTGAACTGTGGGAAAATAAATTTGTTGAATTTTTCTAGAAATGTTGGAAAAGTGTCTGTAACTCGAGACATTGTCCGAATGTCCGAAACAGACTTTTTAGTTTTATATGTTTCTAAGTCAAATTGCTCATATGTTGGGGTGTCCGTATGTCGGCGTTTAACATAGTGCGTGTTTGCTTGGAGAAATTTGTATTCATTCCCATGCCCAAAATTGCCAGCAAAAATATTTTCGATATGCTAATCGATCGAACTCTGATATTCTTATCGACTCTGATTTTCTCATAATATATTCACTTCATCTTCTATATGTTGAGTTGAAACTGGATTATGAAAAACTAGATATTGAAATGCATTTCAAGATATTGATTATGTTTTATTATCTAAGTGGAACTTGTGTCAGGAGCTGCGTGTTACAAATTTACATGATGTGCCTGAAATACTACAGATTTGTGTGTCTCACTTCATGATCGTTTGAATTTTTCCTCGACTTTCCAGTGAGAAGCAGAATTATGTTCAAATTTTTCTCATCGCATAACTTTACGAACAGCCCGAGCTCAAAAACCGTTCTGAAAATTGTGATCTTCCTTCTTGTCACTTTTTTTCTCCTTTTCGTAGGTGAGATGCGCAATATAGCTCAATAAAAAATTGTTTTATTTGTGGCGAAGGCATAAAAAACTCATGGCTCTTTTCAGAAATGAATAATGCATGAATTGAAGATGCACAAAGGCATTTCTCGAGGGTGAAAAGGTTGAAGTGATCACATTGATTGGATGCGTTTGTACTCGAAGATAAATGTTTGAAACGAGTTGTGAAGATGAGCTTGCCATTTCTAACCGAATTCCTGTTTTCTTTTTTTTTACTTCTCGTTTAGGTGCAGAAAACAAATCAGAAAAATGGCTTCGAAAGAGTTCATCGTGATGATTTGCATCTTGGTCTTCGCATCAAACGCTTCGGCTTCCTTCAGCCTGAATTCGCGCAGTTCGAGTGGAACGTTGGATGCGAAATCGCTGAGACCTTCAAAAATAACCACCATCAAGTTCGGCCCAGGTGCTTCTGCCTTGTCGACTGCATCTGCGATGAAGTTCCTCAAGTTGCTGGAAGCCTCGAAGGGCTCTGCAAAACCCACGACCCCAAGTAAGGTCAAGGAGAATTCCAAGGACGAGCTTGCCAAGTCGTTCAAATGGCTCAAGGCTGGGAAGAACACGGATCAGAAGCTGCTGAAATCCATGTTGCCTGCGTTGTTGGCGAGGCTTTCGTCAGAGAAGACTGCGAGGTGTGCAAATTTCATTTGTCACTAGTCGTTCTTTATAAAACCACAGATTTTTCTTTTCACTCCCCAGCAAATTAAAGTACGTACTTGATCAAAGACCATTAGTACAGTGAGACCCCCACATGCGGACGCCTCGACCTGCGGACAATTCGACATAGGGACACTTATTTTCCCAGAAAAAAAAATCAATAAATAAGTCCTGACGTGAGGACACTGACTCAAAATAGGGACATTTTGTGATAAAATTGCAAATATATTTCAGGCCAAATTACAAGAAACAGTTATTTCCAACACTAAAATTGAAGTAAGAAAAGTTCTTGGGCATTTCTCTAACCAAATTACCATCCATTTAGCTAATTAAAAAAAATTCCCTCCAGCATAGAGGGGCTTCTACTTTTCTTTCACTTGAATGTTATTTTTGTAGAAGCCAAAATTTCAATGTACAGTACAGAGATACACTATTCAATGCGGCAAATGTTCTTATTGAGTTTAAAATGTATCCACTAATTCAAATTCAAGTGGCAAACAATTATTTGCAGGGAATTCTGAAGAATATTTCTTCCACAGAACACCAATTAAAAATTATATTATGTGAGTCTATGGGAAAACAATAAGACTTGACTTAGAACATTTCGACTTGGGGACGCTCTTGATGCACCAATTATGTCCGCATCTCGAGGTCTCACTGAAATCGCTCCCCACATAAATTTGTAGCACTTTCAATAATGAATGCTCGCGAATAAAAATAATTGAGCTTCTCTGTGACGATCATGGAATCTCAAGTCAAATATCGGGCTCATACTGTGACTGAATAGATCATCTGAAAACACATTGAGGAAAACAGAAAAATGCAGTAATTTTTACATGCGAGAATTTGACTATTGAAATCATTTACAAAATAAATGTCGTTCAATTTTCTTCCACATCCCCATACTGTATATTGATCACGCTGAACTTTGAAGCATTCAACCCTCTTGAGATCAAACTGCAATGAATTGCTTAAAATATATATATTGTATACGATATAGAAATCATTTCCAATTTAGGGAATTTCTGCGTGGGTAATTGTATTTCTTCTTGGCGGGGGACAATAGAAACGACAGAACGGTAAATTTTTGAAACTCCATATCGTGTCTACTTCAAAAAGTCGCAAGACTTATGAAACAACCCTTAAAAAAAGATTCTGTCTATAGTCCCCAAAACATCCCTGCTATAAGTCGAAACCTCCCTAAGTCGAATTTATTTCCTGGTCCCTTGATATTTTACTTTTTATAGAGAGGTTTGACTGTTGCTAGATGTTCAAGCAATATAAAAGTGTTGAAAATTTCTAAAATTTTTCTGGAAAATTTTCGCAAATTATGAGTATTTCGGGCCGTTGTCCGCATGTCGGGGCTGATTTTTTAGAATTTCAAGTGTTCCTAAGTCTAATTGTCCATATGTCGGAATGTCCGCATGTTGGGGTCAGGGTCTGGACATATAGGGAGGTTTGAGTGATGGGGAGTCAAAATGCTGTACGAGTTTTCCTTTACTGTACTGTATTTAGTAATTTCTTTCAAATACTGAGTGCATTTCAGACTTTTTGGCATATAGCCGTAATTCCTATATGATATAAGCGGAAATCCCGCGTTCATTCAGCTCTTTCATGCAGATGTCTGCGTGTGTGTGTTTTTTTTTTGCATGCATTCTTTGTGCTGAAAGAATGTTTTTTTCTTTCGTTTTTCAGGAGCAACGGAATGCAATTCGCTCGCGTGGAACGAAAAGTTGGACAAAGCCCCGTGTACACCATCAAACTGCCTTCCCAGGACAAATTCTACGCCGAAAATGAAGTCGACGGGGACTCCGAGTACTATGCCAAGAAGCCCTTTGCCGTGCGGGAGTACTACGACGGGCCCAGGTCAGACCAGGTCATGTTGCGCCGAGTGACCAGGATCCCGGTCAGCTTCAATTCCAATGGACGCCCCAAGACCGTCTCCAGGGCCTGGAACTCACTCGGCGACGTTTTCGCCACCAAGTCGTTCGAAGGCGGCGATGAATCCGTTCTTCGTGACCCGAAAACTGAGGTGCGAAATTGTATTTTAATAGAATTTCATGCAACTTTATCATTCATGAATGTTTGCCCTTCTTATTCGTGCTGAATTTTTAGACATAGATGTGATGATTTAATCTTCATACACACTGGCATAATTTCGCTTTATTTTTTTTCGCGATGAAGTTCGAAACACACACAAATTCAAAAAACACACTGGGGCAAAGGTTTTCTGCTCGCTATTTTCCTGATCATTAGATAGAAACTTGACGATGCGCATGATTTAAATTTTTCATCACTGAAAAAAATGAACATCGAAGATCCGATTTGCGAACTTCTGATTCCAAGCGTGTTCGTCGAGAAAGTCTATTTTCTAAAGAGCATCGAACCTTCGTGTTCAAAGCTATCAGTATACTAAAAACCTTTTTTAATTTTGAGGAATCAATGGTGCAATTCAAAAATGCAATGCGAAAGTTGTGAGAAAATTATTAAATATTCCCTCGAGAAAATGTTGTTTCTTAGAATTTGGAACACTATACCATTTCTATTTTTATTTCCATTTCAGCCGTTCAAAAAATAATCCCCATGGCCTATGCACTTAATCAGGGCCAAAAATTTGTTATATGATGAGACTGCAGCTCAAAATTAGTTCCTACAAATGAGATTTTGTTTTCATCATGCCGCTTATGTTAAAGCACTGGGAATTAGGAAAAAAATTCGCTGTAACAAAAATTCGCGCAGACGAGATTCGTTGTAACGGAACTTTGCTGATGTAATCAATTCAACACTCATTAAACAAAGTTTTCGAAATCTCCATAAAAACTGTAAAAAATTGAGGCTCCCAACCAAGGCTGCTAATTGTGTCACAATTTAGCACACTCACAATCACTAGCCTTCAAAAAATAATTGCACAATCACTATCACAATGAGTAAAAAAAAAAGGATTGCCCAATTGAAAGTGATTGTGATAAAACTGACCTAATCACAATCACAACCAGTACCAAATAACTTCAGCAGATAATAATTTCTTTATTGGTAATTGTACTTGAATGAAAGAGTTTGGGCATTCAATATTGAATAATACAGTACTTCAGAAAGGCTACTTAGCTTTATTCATAATTTTTGGTACTTTACTCCCTTATCAAGGCAGATGTTTTCTGTTTTTGTCTGGTGAGGATCCAAATGGAATGAGAAAAGATGACATCCATATGATGCAAAAGTATTGTTTTGATTGGAATTTTGTTGTTATTCTCTTCATCCATTCACAAGATTGATATTCTGGAAATAATTTGAGATTAATCAGGGATGCTGGCAATAAATGTAAAATGCAATGGATGGAAATCTTGAAGAGAATTGCAAGTACCCTTGCAATTGTGATTGGGCAAAAACAGGAATAAGTCCATTGTGATTGCAATATTGTGGATATAGAACAGTGGTTCCTTGCGAATGCAATTTTGATTTTGGAATATTTTGGGGGCTGGATTGTGATTGCGATCGTGCTAGTACATTTTTCGATTGTGATCAACCACTCCCAACAGAAGATGATTTTATTTTTGTTGCTGAGGTCGAGCGGTTTCCAACTCAGCATTAGAAAAATGAGCAAGATTTGTTTCTTTGTTTTTTTTTTCAAACAGAGGGTTTCTCAATTGTAAATGGGATTGAGAATATTACTGGATATCAATAAGTCAATTGGCTTTTTTTTTAAATCATTCTTCTTCTCCCATCGCACATCAGGAGAGGCCCGGTGACCTGAAATCCTACCGAATTTCGAGTGACTTCAGCCGCTACAGGAACCTGCTTTCACCTGCAGCAGGGGCAGTTTCTCGCAGGAGCTACAGCAAGTCTGTGCACTTCAAGCCCACCAAGGCGTACAACGGAAAAGTCAGCTCCATCTACGTTCTCACCGACGAAAATGACAAACAAGCCTAATAGGAAAACCCCTTCCAAATAACGAGTCCCGTTACCCCGTGTGAGGAATTCCTGTGGGGATTTAATCTCCCCCGCCTGCTGATGCTTGCTGAAATTTCTAGCTCACTTTCGGCTGATTTCGTTCATGGCGGAGGAGGCTATTGATGACGCAGACAAATGTTTCTCGCTCAATATATGGAATGATGGAGTTTTTTCTTTGTTTGAAGAATCCATATATTCCTATATTCCCTACACATGTTGTAAAACTCGGCAAGCTCTCAATCGCTGTGATTTTGAATGATTGCTGAGTAACCTGTGGAAACAAATGGAAAGAAATTGTTGTCTCTTTTTTTTTTGCATGTGAAAAAAAGAACGCATCCGTCGGATTCTTGATCTATTCCGTTTGAATGGAGTGGTTTGAGTTAATGCCAGTATTTATTTGTTTTCTGGCACAAATGTGGAACTCGACTGTTTTTGTTTTTTTTAGGTGCTGAAATCTCGAAATCCGTTTCATTTTCGTTGCACGATTTTTTTTTAGATGTTCCAGTTCATCTCGATACCATCAATATTTATTCTCGCTTGACGAAAAGATTATGTGCGGAGATTTCATTATGGTGCATATATGCATTGTTTCCCAATTTCGAAAAAAAAGAAGTTCTCCTTTGAATCATCGTGTTGGAAATTGACCAAAGCATCGCCCGAAGAACGAAGAAGATTTGTAAAAAGGTGCTCGTGATTTAGCCGTTACCAAAAAGCTGATTGGGTTCCTTCAATGAAGATCGTTTTCGTTCGCCGTTTCCGAGATCTCCTGAACTCTTTGTGTGTTTGTTTCGATGCAAGAAAACACATCGTTTGTAATTACGAGCGAGAAGAAATACATTTCTTCGGATCCAGTTTGATAATATTTCACGTGTTTTTACATTTTTCACGGGTGTTTATTCAACTTGATCTAAACAAGGTGGATTCAGCGACAGAAACGATTTTTTTTAATGTACAATACATCTTTTTGATCGATGACATTGTCATGTTGAAATAGGTCGGTAATTGAGTTTCCTTCTAATTTTCTGGCAGATTTAAATGTGAAGTTTCATGGATTTTACACTTGAAGTTTCATAGATTTTAAATCTGAAGTTTCATAGATTCTAAATCTGAAGTTTCATAAATTTTAAATCTGAAGCTTCATAGATTTTAAATTTGAAGTTTCATAGATTTTAAATTTGAAGATTTTCAAATTTACATTTGCAGATTTTAAATTTAAAGTCTGTATGATCAATGCCACACATTGAGAAGAATTATGTCAATGGAATTTCACGAAAAAGCCAGTTCCATGTGTTCTCTGAAATACGTTACAAAGTTTCAATGGTTGATTGAAACTCTCGGAGGATGTCTTAGTTCTGCGGGCCTTTCCATAATTTGAAACTTGGGAAGAACAATTCACACAGTTTTTATTGGGTGCAGTATACAGGCATTGAAATTTTTTTTAAATTTTGCTGGCTGCTTCTCATCCTGAAATTTATCGTGATATTTGAATGGTTTCGATCTCGAAATTTTTTTTTGCTGCAAAATAGCAAACAATTCTGCTTACAAACTTGACCAAATAAAATTTCCCACAACTTACCTAATTGAGTCAAAAATTTCCAAGCATGTTCCAGATTTACTTTGATGTGTCCTGTTGGTGTTGTACTTCAAAGCCAAATTAGTTGAAAAACAGATGTAGATAGCCTCTCCATACAACGGTTTTCTTCAAAGATGCATTTTTCTGAACAAAGAATTGTTTGGTCCTGTGGGGTTCTTAATCCGTTTTTAAGGGCTTCTGTACAACTCCTCCCTACCACAAATTATTCGAATGGACTTCGCACGACATGGACAAATCCTCCCTACCACGAATTTTTCTTGTCCCTTGAATTTTCTTTTTTTTTTTGAGTCCACCTAATTGACTAAATCTGTGAATAATTAGTCGTTCCTTTATTATCAAGGCACATAATATTTGAAAGTTTAAGCGGTGAACCCAGGAAAATATACGAATATTTTGTCAATAGTTTTATGCAGGAAATCTAAAAGTTTTTAGGGAAGTTCCACATGTAATTGAAACAAATATAATTCGTGCGAAGTACATTCGAATACAGTCATGCTTTCCTAATATTTAGTACGGTCATTCAAACGGCTCATTTCTTCGCAGAGTTCTTTAAAAAATTGCTTTATCATTATAAAAACCTGCGAATTTAAGGCTGAAGAATGATCGATTCCGCGAATGAAAATAGACTTTCTCGAGAAAATGACGTGAACTGCCGGGAACACTGCGAAGGTTAATAATCCACTGCGGAATAGATGATCGTTACGTGTGCTTGTAAAAGTATGCTTAATTGCAGTCATTATCCTTTGCAATTATTATCTCTTCCTTAAGTATTATTATCTGGTTTTTTTTTGTTCAAAATCTGCAACAAACCAATAACTGAAAACAAAATGGCGACTCAGACTTTTTCGAGACGTTCCGCCCTCGACGACGACTGCTGCCCACCGCCGTGTTGCTGCCCACCGCCACCATGTTGCTGCCCACCCAAGTGCTGCTGCGACGACGTTGGCTTTTACCAGCCTCAGCAGCAGAGGGGCCTGAAACGGGCTCTGCGTGTCGCTGATGACGATTGCTGCCCACCCCCGTGTTGCTGCCCACCGCCGCCATGTTGCTGCCCACCCAAGTGCTGCTGCGAGGCCGACGAGGCCGCCGCCAGTGGCGCCTCTGCGGGTCGCGCTTTGGGTGCATCCTCGGCACCGTCTGGGAATGCTGAGGGGTTCTTTGACCAGCAGATGCAGCAGGTGGGTAAGAGGATGCGGTTGATGGACTATGTGCCGAGCCAGAAGGTGGCTGCTGCTGTTGTCGGACATCGACACAGCGTGCAGCATCGCCAGCACCAGAGCCAACACCAGCAGCACCAACACCAACACCAGAACCAACAGCACCAGCAGCACCAGCACCAACACCAGAACCAACAGCACCAGCATCAGAAGCACGGGAAGCACGCTGGGCATGCTGGCTCTGGACACCACCAGGTCAGTTTCCGTTTTATCATGTGCTTCAACGTAGCTTGAATTTGAAAGATTTTCTGAAAAAGAATTTATTCATTTTCGTCTGATTTATTTCAGCACCACTAAACGGTGGAGCTGTCATCTATAGGAAGCGCTCCTTGAATACATCGTCTTGAAAAATTCGTCGATTTACTTATCCCGACATGTCTCCAGATTCGTTGAAATGCATATTTGTTCAGTATTTTTAAAATTTCTGGATTTGACTCAGTTGAAGACTGAGGAACATGCTAAAATGTTCAGCATATTTGAACATGGGTGTGATGTGAAATGTGAGTGTGACCCAAGCTCCGAAACATTGTTGAGGAACACAAGATTAGTTTTGCATTTTATTCGTGCGACATCTACATAAACTATCACAAAAAACAACTCTGCAAGGTTTATTTGATGGAAAGAGGTCACTTATAACCGCGTCAGGTTCACAATTTTAAAGTGTACAGTACGGAATAGTATCACCACATTACCGAAACTCTTACTACCGTTGTAATAAATGAAAAAATTTCCTATTATGAATGTACATGCGAATAGCTGCACATTACGTAGCATTCCTACGAGATTTTCATTGCCGAGCTAGCTTCAATTCTAAAACAAAATATCGAACATTCGCCTTTCGAGTTGAGCAGAGGCACCCTGAAAGAAAATCGGCTGTATGATTTGTGTGAAGATTGTTCAAACAAGGACTGTAAGATAGATAGGAATACTGAAAAATGTTAGGAATTGCTAAATACTGTAATAGAATTGACGATGCTGAACATAGGGGCAACTGTTCATTTGCCTAATCATTCACTCTCAATGCATTAAAGCATTTAGTTGATCATTATTCGAATTTTCCTCTCGTGGTCAATAGAACCATAGCCCGCAGTTCTCTAAATTTTAGTCATGGTTTCAGGGGCAAGTATATATTGATCAGTGTTTAAAAAAAATAAGATGAGGGTTAACGTGGGGAAGCTCTCGACTTGAAGTATTTCTTTCTGTGAATTCCTGATGCCATGCGGACATGTTTCGTATTGGTCGACTTCTGTTTAGCCGACTCTGATTGAAACAGGTAGTGTTTCCGAGATGGTCCTCTTCTTTTCGACTTTGTAATTCTCTCCGAGGAGCGGCTGATGAATATTTCACGGGGATACCAGAGCCAAGTTGGAATTGATTCGTGACGCAATAGGTTTTCCTCCATCCCGGTCAGGCGATATTCGGGGTGTGGGAAAAGCTCGGGTGCTGTAGTTCATATACGTGTTGAAAGCTTTCGGATTCGGGAAGATTTGAATAAATGTTTTTCCCCACGCCCCGGGGGAAATCCCGTCTTGCTGCTTTTGTTTGAAACCTTGAGTTTTCGCTCAACAGATTCTGTACTTCGGCAGTTGTAACTCCGTGTGAGCTTGTACGATGTGATTCGGTCTGCGTTGAAAAAAATATATTGTGAACGCATTAAAAAGTGATGGAACTATCGAAAATCGATGCCAGTTTCTTTTTGGACTTTTTTTGTGTCTTCTCTTTATTTGAAAGCTGGCCATTTCTGAAGTTAGTTTCGTGAGCTCCGTCAAAATAGGCAGATGATAATTCAGTGAATTATATTTTGGAATAGTAATCCGTGACTCATTTGGTCGAATCCGAGCAGTTTACAGTATGATAGAATTTTAGACTATTAAAGTGGTTTTAAGTGAAGATACTCGAAGACAAAGGTTATCGAACGTAGCAATAAATCCTAGTACTGTTTATTCGAAATTTTAGTGAAATGTTCTACGCATTATTTGGATGAACAGATGAAAACAGCATTGTTGATAAACGCGTGAATAAATAGCGGGATGCATTTCGTTGAAAAGTAATAAAATTAGGTCTGGCTAGGTCTCATGATAAGTTTCCTTGATCCATATTTAACGTTTGTGATTTAAAAAAAACATTTTTTTAAATGTACCTTCTGCATTTTACACTCTACGCGCATTGTTTTATGTAGCGGGGATTTAAGGAATGTAGTATTTTGGGTGATTCCTCTATGTTTTGTTTTTGTGGATATTTTATGAAATGGCACTTTTTGAATGCGCAACGTTTTCCGGCACTCCTTGTTCTTGGATCTTGATGTGAGACTCTTTAAATTGTCTCGATTTTTTGGAAGGCTGTTTCTCATCAGTATTCGGATTTAGCCCTTTAAAGATTTCCGTAATAATTTCTAATTGCCATTCGATTCAGGAAAAGTTTTCAAGCAGAAATTATTTGCTTTCTCGTGATAACACTGTGAGACCAAGTTCAATGAATGAACTTTCAGCAGTGAAAACGCGCAACAGCCAGTGCACAGGGTATTTAAGTAAAGTTTCTGTAGTGGAAGTCACGTGATACGAAATATTGCCCTTGCACAGTAGTTGTTTCTTCGTTTAATTTTCTTCTGATGATCGTTTTTTGTGCCCTCGGAATCTTGGTTGCGATTTTGATGATTTTTTTTCTATTTTCGGTTGAATGAATACGGCATGAACAGCTTTCTGAGAGTCCGTATCTTCCGACCCGGAAACGCTCGTCGAACTCGAATTATATTCCATAGTTTCATACGCTCCTGTTTTCGTTGGGTGCAGTGTGCCTTGGTTTTTCGATTTTTTTTCGTGTGGAATTTGTTTTTTAAATCAGAGCATCTTCCCATGAGCAGAAGCAATTTTCTGTGAAATTTTTGCATGGTACTGGAATTTTTAAAAATTGTTGGTGCCTTTAACATTCTGAAAATGAAACTTCAAATCAGTTAATATTGTGCCAGAGGCTCATATTCACCTGGAAGTCTTGGAGTTTTTCAAGCCCCCATCACACAGCTGATCTCAATTAAAAAAAATCTGCTTCTCGACG